CCCCCCCCCCCCCCCCCCCACAGGTGTTGCGCCACTGCTGCGCTTCCCCTCGCACGCTGGAGACCCTGCTCAACTGCTACGTGCGAGTGCCCGCCACGGAGGCCTGGCAGCAGGCTGTCCCAGAAGAGCTAGTGCAGGTGAGTCGGCGTGAGGCCGAGCGTCCGGGGGGGGTGGGGTTGCCTTTCCCGTTCTCACGAGCCCCGCTTCCCTCTTTGCAGCAGCACCCGCGGTTCTTCCGGTCCCTCTTCGCCCTCGGCCAGGGACCCCGCAGCCTGCAACACCTGGCCAGGTGCGCTCTCCGCAGCTGCTTGGAAGGCCGCCTCCCCCAGGCCCTGCCCCACCTGCAGCTGCCCCCCGCCTTGCATCAGTTCGTGCTGCTTCGCTTCGAGGACGTCCTTTACTAGCCGCCCGCCCGCCTGCCCCTTCTCAGCCCCCCTCCGGGGCTGGTGGTCGTCGGGGGCTGCCTGTAACCCCAGCCGAGCGAATCGGCCGCATCAGCCCAGCCCTGATAGGTATGGCGGGCCCCTCTTCCACGGAAAGCCTGCTGCGCCTGGAGCACTCCGACCGATCCGGACGACGCGGGGACGGAGGCGGCAGTGAGCGAGAATCGCCGTCTGGAGAAGGACCCAGGGATCTGCCAGACATCCGGAAGACAAAGAAGGCCGTGGATGCGCACGGGGGGGCCGCGCTCGCTTCCTGGGACTGGGCTCCGGTGAGGTCAAGCGCACCAAGCAGGCAGAAACTCCAGGCGCTTGGACACCCCGATCTGCTCCGGCCTAGCCTCCTTGCGAGCCCCTGGCCCATTCCGGCGGCTTCCCTGGGGGAGCACTGGGGTGGTTGCTGGATTCCCCAGAGTGAGAGAGCCCCCCACCCATCTTCAAACTGACGTAGCGCCCTGGAAAGGCAGGTGAAAGGAAACCGGAGAAGCCCTTTGTCGTCCGTCCATTCCCTCCACCCCCCTTTTCCTCTCTTCTACCCCCACCCCCCAAAAAAGCCTTTCGCGTGTGGAGAACCCGGGGAAGCTCCCTGCTTTTTTGTAGATTGGCCATGTGTGGAATAAAGAGGCTGCTTCCCCTTAGTGCGTGGCCGCGGATGTGTGTTTCCTCCGCGTTCCTGGCACAAGCGGAGGACGGACGCGTCCAGCCGCGGGAGAAGGGCCCGGCGCAGCCTAATGGGTGGGCAGATTCCCAGACAAGCGGGCCCTGCTGCCCCTCCAGCAGGTCACCACCAGGCGGCGCTGCAGGTCGCAGCTGGATGGGGCTTGCAGAGGACGCTTTGAGGCGGGCGGGGGCAGCGGCGGATGAAAAGATGGGAGGGGGGGGCACTGGCGTGACAGAGAGTTCCGGCCCCTTGCCTGGCTCGGGACAGGACTCGCGTCCCTGCCATAGTGCGGGGGTCCAGGGTGGTCCCGTGCAGGCCTTGGCGCACAGAGTCCATTTGGTGCCCTGACTGGGAAACAAGTGGCGGGAAGGACGGGGGGGGGGGGCATTTCTCTGAGCACTTGGGGGATCTTCCGCCTCGGACCTTCCACCCGGCTTTCCCCCAGGCAGCCTCCTGCTCCTGCCCCCTTCCTGCCCCGATTCCCGGAGAAAAGGCAGCGGGGAGGACGCTCACCACCCTTCCGAGATCCCCCCCCCCCCCAGGAGAGGTCTGGGCGCAACAGGTGCGGGAATTCATCGGTCCTCGCTCCGTCCGCCCCAAGTAGGCAGGGGAGCAGGTGAGCCCCGGGCGCTTCCTGCCTCGGAACGGGCAGCGACGAGGGGCTTGCGGGGCGGCCCATTCCCAAGGGAGGGGGCGGCATACAAATGTCAATAAACTCTAAACTCCCTTCTCCCTCCGGCTCTGCGAGATGGGAGGACGGTGGACGGAGCCACTTTTCTCCCCCCCCCCCACAAAAAAGGACCACGGGGTCTGTCGGGGTGGCTGGCCAGGAGCTCCGGTGGGAAGACCTTGGCAAGAGGAGCCGTGGCAAGAAGACTGCCGCTGCTTCGGGTGCCCTCGAGCGGGAGAACTCGAACGATGGGGAGAAATCGGGGGGGGGGGTCGTCAGCGTGCCCAGAGCCACGGGGTAGGAGGGCTCCCCGCCGGCGATCGGACAGCGAGCCGAGCGAGGAGGGCAGAGGGAGGACTGGCACCTCACCGGGCAACGTCCGAGGCACCCAAGCACAGACAAGCGACGCGACCCGCTCACCGTCCTGCCCCGAGAAGAGGGGAGCGCGGCCGGGGGAGTCGATTGGTGGGAGAGTCCCGTAGGGCCCCTCCCCCGCACCGCCCGCGGGGCAGCTGGTCCCGCCCAGCCCCACAAAAGGCCCTTGTGCGCCCGGCCGGTAATTGGCAATCATCAATCACCAGTCATAATGGCTGATGAGGCGGGAGGGGGCGGCGCTTCCCAGGGGCCCCCTGGCCGCTCCAGTGGGAACCCGCCGCTGCTCCCTGGCCCGGCCGCGGGGCGGGCGGCTCTGGGGGGAACTCAAGCGGAATTTGAGGAAGATGGATGAGCGCGGAGGCAGGGCGACACCCCTCCCCCCTCCCCTGCCATCTCCTCCCTCCTCGCCCGCCCGCCCGCCCGCCCTCTCTCGGCAGACAGCGCCAGCCAAGCGCCAGGGCGGCAGCGGGAGGAACGGCGCGGCGGCGGCGGCAGCGGCAACGGCGGCGGCTCCGTCGAAGGGCCCCGGCCGAGCGACCAGAGGCGGAAAGCGAGCGGCCGTGCCTCCGCCGGGGCTGGAGCTCCGGGTCACCCCGGGGACTCTGGCGGGGGGGCAGCCGGGCCGGTAAGTGCCGGCGGGGTCGAGGCCGCCGCCATGCAGAGGCCAAGTAGCGGCCAAGGGGCCGCCTTCTCCATCGATTCCCTGATCGGGCACTCGCCGCCCGCCCCGCGCTCCGGCCCGCTGCTCTACACCGGCTACCCGATGTTCATGCCCTACCGGCCGCTGGTGCTGCCCCACGGGCCGCTGCAAGCCGCTACCGGGCTGCCCCCGCTGGCCCCGCTGGCTTCCTTCGCCGGCCGCCTCAGCAACTCCTTCTGCGCCAGTCTCGGCCAAGCCGTCCCGTCCATGGTGGCGCTCACCACCGCCTTGCCGAGCTTCGGGGAGCCCCCGGACGGCTTCTACCCGCCCCAGGAACTGCCGGTCGCCGGCAGGAGCAGCGCGGAGCCCCCCTGCCGACGCCGCAGCGGGGCAGAAGAATTGGACAGAGGCGACCTGTCTCCGGCTCGGGACAAAGGAGCCCCGGAGCCGCCGCTGCACTTCCCGGACCCCTTTCCCGGCCTGGCAGGTGGGTCCCTCGGTGGCGGCAGGTGGGCGGGCTGCGCGAGGGCTCCTCCGGCCGGTTGCTGCGTGGGAAGAACTTATATCGCGGAGGGAAAGTTTGTGTATTCACCGATCGGATATCCGGGGGGGGGGATCAGCAGGGGATGCGAACCGATCGAGCTTCCGGGGTGGATGAAGCGATCGCCCACCCTCAGAGTCAGCGGGGTCCCTTCTCCCTTCCCGCTGGCCAGCAGCCGCCCCCCCCCCGGCCGTAATCCTAACCCTGTTCCCGTGCCTCCTTCGGCTGTGGCCCCCGTAGCTTTTGGCCCCTCTCTTACAGCGCTCGGTGCCCAAATTATGATCCGGCTGCCGCCTTTGCCCCAACCCGCCCGCGGGCTCCAGTCTCTTCCCAAAGGGCGCACCTGGGGGGAACCGGGCGCTCTCGGACGCCAACAGAGATTGCCCGGAAGGGTCCCTTCGGCTCTGCGCGCCTCACCGCAGCCGCCACACCGAGCGCTTGTCCCGGACGTGCCGAAGGACCTCTCCTTCCTCCGGTGACAGAGATCTCTCGCGGGCCGGGGGCTCCATCCGGAAAACCCCGGGGAGGCGGGGAGGGAGCTGTCCCTGGTGCTGCGGAGCAGCCGAGCTGAGCCGCCCGTTCCCACCCGCGACCAAAGGGCGGAGCGCTCGCTTTGCAACGTTCCCTGCTCCAGAGGCCGGGACAGCGGGCTCTCTACAAGCCCTCTTGGAGCAGCCGCCCCAACCCCCGCGTGAATCGGTCAACCTCGAGCTGTGGCGGCGCCCGTTGTGAAAAGAGGCGCGCGAAGCTCTCCCTCTGGGCTGGCCGCCCCCGAGACTCTCAGGGGTTCCGGCCGGACGGAGAGCGGCCGCCGGACGTGATGCCTGCAACGGCGGGTTTTCTGGTTTATTGCGGGATGTGTGTGTGTTCGGGCTGGTCCCCCGTAGCAAGTCCCGGTCGGGAGCCTCTTTCGACCGTGGCGGGTCGGAGGGTCCTTTCGGTGCTTCTCCCTCCGAGAAGATGCCAAGAGAGTCGGGGACGATTGGCGGCGAAAAGTTGCAGCGACCGACGCGGCGCGAAACCACCCGCCCATCCTGAGAAGAGAGGCGGTTACTCCCGAGTAAATCCCGTTAAGGCATCCGGTGCTTTGGGGTCGGATCTGGCCGGCAACGTTTGCGGTACGAAAAGAGGGAGGGGAGCAGCCCGCTCTGCGTCGGGCTGCCTAGTTTGAGGGCGAGGAATCCGTTGCTCCCCACCCTCCCTCCCTCCCTCCCTCCCACCAGTTTCCCCGCTTGGAGCCCTGCGGGGCAGGCGCGGCGCGGAGACCCGGGGGGTGCAGACATTGAATGGCCACACAGTCAAGGGATGGTGGAAAGGGACGTTCCCCACGCGTGGAGCGCCTGTGTCCCCATTGCAGGAACTTGGGGGAGGGGGGGCACTTCCTGCATCTCAGGAGATCGGGGTCGCAGGGGGTCCGAGTCGCAGGGGTGGGGGTGGGGGGTGGGGGACCCTATTGGAAGTGGCCAGAGATCGTTGGCATCGGGGGGGGGCGGGCGGGGCGGTGAGCTACCACGCAGCCTTCTCGAGGCTTCGGACGAGGGGACGTTAGTTGTCCAGGACTCCTGGCCCAGAAGGCTTTGAACTGCAGCCTCCATCATCCCCAGCCCAGCAGGAGAGGCTAACCTGCTTAACCTTGCTAAGAGCAGCTTCAAAGTCTTCCCGTTCCCGGCATCAACCGCTGCCCGCAAAGGGGGCGGTCGGCCCGCGCTCCCTGGCCCTTCCTTGCCTGTGCGCCGCGCCAGGGCGGTTTCGGGCAGCCCTGGCTCGGGTCACCCGCAGGCCGAGCGGAGGGAGAGGATCGCGCTGCCGCCTTCCTCGGGCGCTTGCCTGCGAGTCCCGGAGCCGGCCCCGCTTTGGCAGCCGATTCCGAGCGCAGCGCCTGTCGGGCCCGCAAGGCCAACGGGGGTCGGGGATGACCGAGAGCCAGACTGGAAGGTGAAACAAAAGCTAAAAACCGTTTCGGAAGAACGCAGCGAGCGGCCGTTGGGGGCGGCGGCCGGAGACCACCTGGCCGAATCCCGCAGGAACCCTCCGAAGGAAGCTTCCTCTCCTCGGCGTGGCCGACAACTTGCCCGGCGTGGCCGGATTTCATCGGGTCCATTTATTACGGCGGGGCCGAAAAAAGCGCTTCGCACATGCCCAGAGGCCGTTAGGTCACCCCCTGCGCTGGGCTCTTCGCGGTTTCCACGGGGAACCGGGCGGAGAAGTCAGCGGGGAGGGCCCGGATTTCCAGACTCAGACAAGCGGGACTCAAGTGGGTTCATTGGCCGAGACGGCTCGAATGACCCCGTCCCGTTCCGGCCTGAATCTGAGGCGGGAGCTCCCCGCGCGGCTCCCTGCTTTGCAGAGGCGTTTGGGCTGCGATTGCAATGCAGGGCAGGGACCACCCAGCGGAGGCTCTCGGGCCCTCGGGCCGCGACTGACCACCGCCGCGGATCCAGAAGGTCTGTGCGGAAAGGAGGAAGCTCGCTTCCGACGGAGGGTGGCGGTGACCAGGCCTCTTCCATCCCCCCCGCCCCCACAGCTGGGTGCTGGGCGCCTCCCGGCTGGCTGCCTTCCGAGCAAGCCACCTTCCTTGGCGAGCCTCCTCCGCCCCAAAGCTCCCGCAGGTCAGTGCTGGCGGTGCTGGAGCGGGAGGAGGGGTGGATTCAGCAACGGGACAGGAGGATGGAGTCCAGGCGGCCTCGGATTTCCTGGCTTCGGGAAGCGCGGCGGGAGAAGGAGCCTCTGGAAAGGGCCTCGCCTCTTCCTGGCAGAAAGCCCAGACGGGCAGAGGGCAGCCCCCGAAGCAGGCAGGCATCCGGGAAGAAAGACCCGCTTCCTCGGACTGGCCAAAGCTTCCCCCCCCTTCCCAACCGACCTCACCGCAGGGCGCTTTGGGCCTGCAGCGCAAGAGGCTGCCCGGTTCTCTCCTTTTGCGCCCGGCCAGACAGGGGTTCTCCATCTGCCCAACGCAAGCGGCGACCAGCGGTCTCCGCCCGAGGAGGAAACCGGGGGGTTCGCCTGACCACTTTTCCCGTCTGAGCTCGGCGGCGGCTTTACTCGGGCGTCCTGCTTCGGAGCTGCGTCCGCACGGCTGCCCGCCTCCCCGGGACGACATCCCCCACCCACACACGCGCGGGAGTGGGACGTGTCAGCCGCGCCTCCTGCTCCTACCAGTTCGGGGACGCAGGAGCTAGGCAGCTTGGCCCGGGTTTGATCCGTGGGGCAGTGCCGCGCGCGTCGGGGTTCCTATTTGACGGGACGGTCCCTCTCCGTGGGGAGAGACGTCCCCTCTTCTCCTCCACGCGTTCCCTCCCCCCCCTCTCTCACTCTACCCTTCCTCTTCCACTAATATGACGCCCCTGTCTGTCTGTCTGTCTGTTTCTCTCTCTCTCTCTCTTTCCTCTTCCACTAATCAGACATGACTGTCTGTCTGTCTCCGCAGACGGCAAAGGCGCCTACAGCTCGGACGAGGAGAAGGCGGACGAGCGGGCGGGCGAGGCGGGCTGCGGCAGCGAGCAGGACAGCTCGGCGGAGGCGGAGAGCGAAGAGGAGCCGTTCCTGGAGGGTCCCGGCGGCGGCGGCGGCGGCGGCGTCCCGGTGCCAGCCAAAGCCAAGGCTAAGCGCGGCGTGGGCGAGCAAGCGGCGGCGGCGGCGGCGGCGGCGGTTCCTCCTGCCGCCTCTTCCTCCTCCTCCTCCTCGACCTCCTCCTCGTCGTCGTCGGGGGGCCCGGGGAAGAGCCGCCGTCGGCGCACGGCCTTCACCAGCGAGCAGCTGCTGGAGCTGGAGAAGGAGTTCCACTGCAAGAAGTACCTGAGCCTGACGGAGCGCTCCCAGATCGCCCACGCGCTCAAGCTCTCCGAGGTCCAGGTCAAGATCTGGTTCCAGAACCGGCGCGCCAAGTGGAAGCGCATCAAGGCCGGCAACGTCAGCGGCCGCTCCGGGGAGCCGGTGCGGAACCCCAAGATCGTGGTGCCCATCCCGGTCCACGTCAACCGCTTCGCCGTGCGCAGCCAACACCAGCAGCTGGAGCAGGCCCAGCGCCCC